TCGGGCTAAGGGTGTTTCGACATTTCATACTGGGTTTATCCACCTGAAGCGGGATAAACCCCAGTATGAAAGCGGCATAAGTGTTGTTGTTGTAAGTGTCAGCAGGGGCGCAAATCCAGGAGGGACAGGGGGACATGTCCCCCCCACGAATTTTGGATATATATATATATACATATACATATGTTTGTGTGTATGTGTGTGTGTATGTGCGCGCGTGTGTGAGTGTGTGCGTGCGCGCACGCGCGCGCGCGTGTGTTACTGTTTCGCCAAACAACAAGGCTAACATTTCTGCCAGGTATTAAGGTTCAGACTGGTGCTCGAAACGTCTGAAGGGAAATCCGAAGTGAGCGCTAGAATCAGAAGAGCCTCAGCCGCGCTCAACGTAAACAAACACGAACTAAATAATAATAGTAGGGCAGCTATTGCAACATCGGGGTAACTCATTCGAGCTCATTCGAAGGAAACATTGCTGTAGGACGGTGCGGTAAGGTATTATAAACGTGTTAGAGGTGCACAATGTCGTACAATCTTCTGCTTAATGAGGGCTAGCGCGTGTGAAATATAGTCCTATCTTGGATTAGCCCCGGGTTCACGTCTTTCAGTACATGATCTCGAGCTCACGAAATAACAGTTTTAGGTCGAATCTGTCCAACGATCCGAACAGGTTGGCCAGCGGTGCTGAATAGCTTGTAAATCCTCGGCTAGACGTCGTGTTTGTTTTAGAAATGATAGGCGTAGATTTAAACCGTTTCCCTATAGCATATAGTCGGTCAAACGTGCATCATGTGACTGCGATATTCGTGCAGCCTTGAAGAGGCTTTCGTTTTCCGCGTTTGACACACATTAGGCGAAAAAAATTTCCGCTCTCACGGTATTATTCTGCGATTACGATGAAGAATTCGAAGTGGAGGCTCTTTTGGAGCGAACGTTGAAACATTATTTACGCATTGACCGATTCGCTCGGATTCTTGCCCCTTTCGAGATTTCACAGTTTATGTGTTATGAATGCGAATCATAATGTTCCCCGCTATTAGTTATGGTTACGCGATGCTATATATTCGTGACGTTCACACTGTTTGTACTCTTTGTATACTGGAAATATGTAGAGACTTACCACCGAGTTCTCGCATTTCTAAAAGCAGCGGTAAATCAAGTAAAATTACGACCTTAACCGTGACGCATAAATTTCAGTTACGACCTTCTTGCGTATATACTTTATTAGGAATTAATATCTCCCCATACGCGACAGCTTTTTTAAATCTTAATGCAGTAGGGTGTTTGTCTGCGGCAATATATGGCTAGCAGAGACTATTTATGATTATGTACATAGATTTATGACGCAACAACTGGCAACACTAAAAATATAGCGTGCTAAAAAATCGATAGAAGCTTTAAAATGGCCATCATGTGGAAAACGTGGGCGTTAGTGCATATACCATCTCATAATTATATATCATGTACGCGCAGACGGGCGTATATACTTGCATACACGCACATACATGTGCCCAGGCAGGTACGTATACGCATGTTGATATACGTATATGTGCATGCGTGTGTGTATGCGCCTGAACCAAGGATCAAACCTATGCGTACTGCAACTGCACCACTGTTGTTTCTCTACATGTCAGGTGTTGTTGAAGTAGCGAAGATTATTTCAGACCATTTCGTAATTATTACCAAGCACATATAATTTCTCTACGCTAATCTCTATTCCTTGTTGTTTGACAAATTTTGAAGCCCGAAGACCATCAACATAATATATCAGTAGTTCGTAAAGAAGCAAATGTGCTTTCCATGCGCAAAAAAAACGATGTATGTTCATGAGTTTTATCATGCACAGTTAAAAATAGCATTAGCTGCCAAAAACGGCCATATTTAGAAAATCGGAAGACTGCACATTCACGTTATTCTCAGCGGCTTGCTCATGCTACCATACCATTGCTTCTATAGCTAAGACACTCGAATATGAAAGCCAATACGAAATGCATTAGCTGTATGACTTACATCTTATACTGAGGACATTGACAATATCTAACAGATTCATCCCATTGTTCCGTAAAATGCAATGAATATTTATAAACATATGTATATATATATAAATAAATAAATAAATATATATATATAAATATATATATATATATATGGTATAGTATATAATATACATAATAAACATCTACGACAACGTGTACTTTTGTCGTACTTCTAGACTTACCAGAAGGCTGGATACCTCAATGCAAGCTTTGAAACCACAAATGTTAAGCAAGAGTGACTAGAACAGGTGAGTGGCGGCTTCTATATACGTCGGACGGCCACCCCTGACCCACTGACGGTGATGGTCCGAAGAAATCCGCGCCATTCACTGATAACCTAGTTATGGGCCGGCAACACACTCGCCTGACACGCCCACAATGATTCCGCAACCGCTCGTGTGTATGGAATCAGCGCCATGTTGCGCTCACGTTCGCATTACCTGTGATCACTTACAGGTGTGTGTGTGGCAGGGCTGATTGCTCAGCTGAGCCTTGCTGCAGCGGGATGACGCGGGCGTGACACACAGGTAAACACGAGTGCGTGCGTGCGCCCCGCCCCGTTACGAGCCAACCATCACAAATTGGGTCGTGATGATGTTTGTCTCTTTCTTTTGAGTAGAGAGCGATCTTTGAGAAGCGCCTGTCGTAGCTAAGGCTCGTAATTGTGTGAAACTAGCGGGTGCGTGTTTCTGCCCCGCGGTGGGCTTTTGCAAGTTTCGCGCAAGCAGAACTCGCAGCGCGCGGCTGCATGACACGCGAGAGCGTGTGACGCGCTTGCTGGAAACATGACGACAATAAGTCTTTTGGGAATTTTCGACGAATTAAAAATTAATGATGCTAAATGCATCTTATTGAATGATGGCATTTCGCGAATGAAATTCTCTGAGCATTTTCGTGTTTTATTCATGGATGCATTCGCGTCGTTGCTAAATGAGATGCGGTGTAATGTAAACGTGTATGGCGTAAAAAGCAGATAACATGTACGCAGCGTGTGCTTGACCGGGCAGGCGGAAACGTCGCTCGACTTATCGCATGGGTGTAAGCGGACCTAATATCAAAAATAAATAATATTCACACTCTGGTTTTTCTGGGTGTCCGAATGCATTCATGAGGCGCGTGTGTATGTAATGCGTAAGTATCTCTCTCTCTCTCTCTCTCTCTCTCTCTCTCTCTCTCTCTCTCTCTCTCTCTCT